GTATTTTGGTCATTTTGGTGCTCAGTTTTATTCCATTCATTTCAGAGCTCAAGGGTATTCAATCATTCTTGAGCTTGGTGAAATTCTTGGTCATTTGCATACTAGAGGTATTTTGGTCATTTCCATACTAGGGGTATTTTGGTCATTTCACAGATCCATTGTATTACAATCATTTCCTTCTATCCGATCTTATTATTAAATTTAAACTTATCATTTACTTCAATCATTTCAAACAATTCTCACAAAAGAGCATCATTGATAAATCATTCTTCAGGTATTTACTTATAACTCCGATATTTTCGGGTCAAGTGTCTTCTCAGATTTTACAAACGGAATATCATGAATTTTTCTGCACAAAGACAAGATCTTAACAATTAAATTCGTACTTAATCGAGTTAAGTACAAATCCTCAAAGTATTTTCTCCTTCAGGGTCAACTCGGATTATTTTACCTCTCAAGGCATTTTCGTAATTTCTTAACCAGATAATTTTCGATATTAGCTCTTAACGAAAATAATTATAATTTAAAGATCCTATGGTCAATTGCTTTCCCGAACATTCTCTGATCTTTAAATTATTCCTTAACAAACTTCTAGCATATTGCGCAAACCCTTTTTGGTGTTAAAACCAGTTATCCAAATTTTCTAAACAAAATCATTATTTCTTATGCACATCTATAATTATATCGGATCAATATATCTTTTCAGAATTATTAACCAACTTCCAGGGATAATTCTTGTTATCCTACAACATAAGGGTATTTTCATAATTTTTCACTACGGAGTATTCTCATAATTTCATCATCCAAGTACCTTTATAGAGATAAATTATAATTCACATAGTCAGGACTAATTCCTTTATCACTCAATAACAGAACTTGTAATTCAAGAGAGTCTTAACTAATTTATCACTTAAATTGTATTCGGTTCGAATCCATCCATAATCAAACAGACATGATAGACCAATCATATATATGTCCATATTTATCCATTATCAACATGTTCCATAAAGCATAAAGAGGTAGTAAAGTATTACCTCGATTTTCGTACAATACTGATCGACCATAAAATTCCATTCGAACGCCCTCGATCCTTAATTCAACTTCCCATAATTCCTCAAATACATAACAATATAAATTTCATCAAAAACGTGACTTAATTCCGAAAAACGGGTCGAATCGGGTGATTAATCAGTTAAAACCAACTTACCGGGTTCGAATTTGACGAAACGGATTTCAGAATCGGACTTAGGACGTCAACAAAATCCAAAATATTACACTTGAATTCCAGCTCACCAACTTGATTTCTAGCTTCCAATCTTTTTCTAACGAACACGGATAATTTATCGTACAGATACGACTTCAGTAATTTTCCTCGCCATAAAAATAACTTGTTAGGATCTAATTAATAATTTGAGGATCCAATTGTTAAAACTATAAACTTTAAGAGTCAACATAATTTTTAATTACTAAAATTAGGGACTAAATCGATCTTAATAAAACTATAATGTCATAATCATAATAATATGAAAGCTAAGAGACAAGGTTGAGATGTTAACACTTGGATGTCTTACCTTGCAATTTCCCCCTTTTTACTTTATCAACTAAACCCACGTGATCCTTAGCCATAATATATTCCAAGTAACTTTTTTTTAAAGCACTCTTCGACCAGTGCTTATTCTCATGCGGTGGCAGACCCCATTTCAGTCGTTTATAAAGGCCAACTTCGATACTCGTTATGTTCCTCAGCGTATATGGCGGAAGGTATATCGGTCGTTGATGCTGTTATCATTGCTGCAGAGCTGGAAATTGAAGCGTCGGGTTTAATCTTTTCAAGCATGCTCGTTTAGAGTGGTTCCCCGTACTGCAAATATGATGGATCACTTTCTAGTCGTTGAGTCGTTGGTTGATTTGATGTTTGGAAGAAGCTCCACCAAGAGTAGAAGATCAAGCGTCGAAGGATTATCAATGGCTCGACCCGCCTAGATAATTGTTGGAAGCGTTTGTTCTGGTGCTCGTGCAGGTTCTGGTTTTTGTTTTGCTCCTCGCTGTTGTTCGTTTCATGGTTCTTCTCTGGTGCAAGGAGTTTGAATGGCCGACAGTCTGGTTTTGCTTGTGTTTAATTTATGGGTCTGTATTATAGCCAGCTAGTTTCCACTTGTGGTTCTCTATTTTCCATATTATAAAAGTAATAATAATAATAATCAACTTCACATCATTTCCATTATTTTATTTTTCTTTTGTCAACAAATCCAACTGTCAATCAACAAGCATGAAATGATATAACATATCTTCTAAGCTATGCTAAACAATTATTTACCAATCATACTTTATACCCTTTCACATATTTTAAACTAAAATAAATCTAACCCTATATTGGGGTGTGACAATTCTCCCCTCCTTAAAAGAATTTCGTCCTCGAAATTCATTCATGTCACATAATTGTATAAATGAAACTTCCAACAGTTCTTTCAAATCTTTCAATAACTTTTACAAAAGTACTATTCCTCCACTTATCCTTAACCAGCTGAGTATACATTCTTATCATAAATTTTCAATATTTCAATAAAAGAATCCGAACGAAAATTTACTTGAGTAATTAATTCAGTCTTTGTCATGGGAATAGACTCATAGAGTAGTAGTATATCCAAATTTCATTTCCGAAGTCAAGTCAGAATTTTTCAGATAAATAACTCTTACATGGATCGTGAAGTACTTCACAGCGTTTAGACAGATGTTACTGGCATTCTTTTTTGTACAAGTATAGCCTTAACGGATAGAACTTCGGTTTACTCATTACAGATAGGGACTCAACCTTGTAGTTCCAGCTCAGAGATGTACGATTGCAGTCTAGGGGCATGTACTGATCAGACATATTTTGACATTCGACCGGCCGGTCTAACTTGAAAATTTTTGACTCAAACCATAGCTCTGATACCACTAAATGTAACCCCCTCAGACCGATTCGGGAAGTCACATTAGGGCCACCGGAGTGACCCACCGTAAAAATAGCAGAAATTTTAAAACTTTTTATCAGAACATGTAAACTTATAAAATCATTTATCACTATTTAAAAATAAAACATATTTCCAAACTCGTATATAAATCAAAATACAATTACATGCCCCCTAATCACAAGTACCATACTCTGCAACCACGCCGGAAGAACTCCCTTATTGAAGTCGATAGATACACTGGTACAATTGTTTTAACCTGAAAAGGTGAGTAATAGAGTGAGCTTTGGAAAGCTCAGTAATACAGAACTACCAGATGATGCTACATGACATGTAGATAAATGGAAAGCCATATAATTTCCTTATTGAATCATACGTATACCAGCTTGTAGAATAATTTGGGGTTCCCTTAGAAGTTCATCGAGTAGAAGCCATGAATCTCAGTTCATAAGAAACCTTTCAAAGTATGACATTTTCAGGAGATCGAATAGGATGTCTAGTGTGTTCCAACAGTATAATAAAATCATAATAGGTACAAATCATAGTCCAGTAAATCTCACAATTTCGTAAAAGAGTTTAACTTTTGAAAATCATAGTTTAAACCCTTTTCTGGTACACCATCAGTAGTTCCCAAAATTATTTTCCATATAGCTTACTTTATGCACATAGCAAAAAGAAAGCCGACTTAAGGATAGGCTATGAAGCTTGTATCCTTAAGCCCAAGTCAATAAGTCCATATAGCTTACCCTAAGCATACAGCAAAGGAAAGCCAACCTAATGAAACATCTTGGGGCCCTCAAGAGTCACATTAGGCCCATTTAGCTTGATCAGAGCTATTCCATCGTAATTCAATTCCAAAATTCAATTGCACCGTGACATAAATTCCATAAATCCAAAAACATGGTAATCATATACCATTTTAAAACAAAAATTAGATAGCAGCCATATACTATAAATTGTCACATTAAATTGGTGCATCCATAAAACAATAACCAATGAATTCGGTGTACCACATATTAAAACCAATAAAACAGTTCAGTAATAAGTAGGGAACACACTAGAGAATCCAAGTATTTTCAGAGGCCATTGTAGTTATCATTTTGGATAACATGAAACTTATGGAATTTGATCGAATTCCAGGAATAAGGTTCTATTGAGGAGAATCGATTACTAACCGATCTAGCCAGACATTTAAGGTTGATACATTAGAATCCCACTATATTTTCGTGTGCATTAGGAAAACGTTCAGGAACCTTTATACATAATAATTCTAAATTCATATTTACTGCAAGTGATTCCATTACCCAAACAATCAGGGGTATTCAGGAATATACTTTGAATTCATAGGATTTCAGCCCAATTGAACCAAATGAGATATTCAGAATCTTTTCCTTCTGCGTTACTTGTTTTTTTTTCCAAACATGACCGAAGTGATTTTAGATGAAATATAGAATCGAAGATTCAAGTCATTTACAATCTACGACAATCGATCATATTATCAAACAACTCGAGTTACACAACTCTCAAACTGATGCATGTCAACAAGTCAATTCATTATCCTTCCAGTGTATTCACTCTTTAATACCATAATGCAGATCCATAGATCATCCCCATAATCATCACTGAATAAATCTTCCAACGGTCTTTATTTCATTTCCACGTTTCAACAATGTCAGGAAATACTGACGTACTTGATCCATGGCTCATAACCCATAATGACAATTCATCATGTAAGTTCAACAGTGTTTCCAAACTCATCAAATCACCTATTTACTCCTCAGTCATTGAGGTTACTTAGTTCGTTTAGTAAGCAAGTCTATCTCGGTTACTTTAGAGTTTTCCAGAATAATTCAGACATTTCTGAATTTCAAATACATGTTGTACTTCCTTTCAGTTCAATTTAGTCATATAATAAAGTCATTCTGGTATTCATGGTTGATTTGTCTCACGAATACCCACTTATTAGTACTGTATGCGCTCTAGAGTTTAGCTGAGCCAATTATTTCCAGAATTATCATCGCTCCAAATTTGAGAAGAAGACCAAACATTCAAGTGGTAACTATATCATTCAGGTAATGATATAGCACTAGCGTTGGTTGATCACTTAAGTTGCATTCCATAATTTTTACTGGTAGCACAACATCCATGTTTATTTGGATTTCTTAATTAATCCAAGACATTTACTTATTATAGGTCATAAGGGTATTTTGGTCATTTTGGTGCTCAGTTTTATTCCATTCATTTCAGAGCTCAAGGGTATTCAATCATTCTTGAGCTTGGTGAAATTCTTGGTCATTTGCATACTAGAGGTATTTTGGTCATTTCCATACTAGGGGTATTTTGGTCATTTCACAGATCCATTGTATTACAATCATTTCCTTCTATCCGATCTTATTATTAAATTTAAACTTATCATTTACTTCAATCCTTTCAAACAATTCTCACAAAAGAGCATCATTGATAAATCATTCTTCAGGTATTTACTTATAACTCCGATATTTTCGGGTCAAGTGTCTTCTCAGATTTTACAAACGGAATATCATGAATTTTTCTGCACAAAGACAAGATCTTAACAATTAAATTCGTACTTAATCGAGTTAAGTACAAATCCTCAAAGTATTTTCTCCTTCAGGGTCAACTCGGATTATTTTACCTCTCAAGGCATTTTCGTAATTTCTTAACCAGATAATTTTCGATATTAGCTCTTAACGAAAATAATTATAATTTAAAGATCCTATGGTCAATTGCTTTCCCGAACATTCTCTGATCTTTAAATTATTCCTTAACAAACTTCTAGCATATTGCGCAAACCCTTTTTGGTGTTAAACCAGTTATCCAAATTTTCTAAACAAAATCATTATTTCTTATGCACATCTATAATTATATCGGATCAATATATCTTTTCAGAATTATTAACCAACTTCCAGGGATAATTCTTGTTATCCTACAACATAAGGGTATTTTCATAATTTTTCACTACGGAGTATTCTCATAATTTCATCATCCAAGTACCTTTATAGAGATAAATTATAATTCACATAGTCAGGACTAATTCCTTTATCACTCAATAACAGAACTTGTAATTCAAGAGAGTCTTAACTAATTTATCACTTAAATTGTATTCGGTTCGAATCCATCCATAATCAAACAGACATGATAGACCAATCATATATATGTCCATATATTTATCCATTATCAACATGTTCCATAAAGCATAAAGAGGTAGTAAAGTATTACCTCGATTTTCGTACAATACTGATCGACCATAAAAATTCCATTCGAACGCCCTCGATCCTTAATTCAACTTCCCATAATTCCTCAAATACATAACAATATAAATTTCATCAAAAACGTGACTTAATTCCGAAAAACGGGTCGAATCGGGTGATTAATCAGTTAAAACCAACTTACCGGGTTCGAATTTGACGAAACGGATTTCAGAATCGGACTTAGGACGTCAACAAAATCCAAAATATACACTTGAATTCCAGCTCACCAACTTGATTTCTAGCTTCCAATCTTTTTCTAACGAACACGGATAATTTATCGTACAAATACGACTTCAGTAATTTTCCTCGCCATAAAAATAACTTGTTAGGATCTAATTAATAATTTGAGGATCCAATTGTTAAAACTATAAACTTTAAGAGTCAACATAATTTTTAATTACTAAAATTAGGGACTAAATCGATCTTAATAAAACTATAATGTCATAATCATAATAATATGAAAGCTAAGAGACAAGGTTGAGATGTTAACACTTGGATGTCTTACCTTGCAATTTCCCCCTTTTTACTTTATCAACTAAACCCACGTGATCCTTAGCCATAATATATTCCAAGTAACTTTTTTTTAAAGCACTCTTCGACCAGTGCTTATTCTCATGCGGTGGCAGACCCCATTTCAGTCGTTTGTAAAGGCCAACTTCGATACTCGTTATGTTCCTCAGCGTATATGGCGGAAGGTAGATCGGTCGTTGATGCTGTTATCATTGCTGCAGAGCTGGAAATTGAAGCGTCGGGTTTAATCTTTTCAAGCATGCTCGTTTAGAGTGGTTCCCCGTACTGCAAATATGACGGATCACTTTCTAGTCGCTGAGTCGTTGGTTGATTTGATGGTTGGAAGAAGCTCCTCCAAGAGTAGAAGATCAAGCGTCGAAGGATTATCAATGGCTCAACCCGCCTAGATAATTGTTGGAAGCGTTTGTTCTGGTGCTCGTGCAGGTTCTGGTTTTTGTTTTGCTCCTCGCTGTTGTTCGTTTCATGGTTCTTCTCTGGTGCAAGGAGTTTGAATGGCCGACAGTCTGGTTTTGCTTGTGTTTAATTTATGGGTCTGCATTATAGCCTGCTAGTTTCCACTTGTGGTTCTCTATTTTCCATATTATAAAAGTAATAATAATAATAATCAACTTCACATCATTTCCATTATTTTATTTTTCTTTTGTCAACAAATCCAACTGTCAATCAACAAGCATGAAATGATATAACATATCTTCTAAGTTGGAAAGTAATGGATTCCAACCTTGTCTGCAATACCATTATCTTCACATAAAAAAAATATATCACTTATTGAGTGGCCCTCAATTTGATTAATAAAATAATAATATGTTAAATAATTATTTACCAATCATACTTTATACCCTTTCACATATTTTAAACTAAAATAAATCTAACCCCATATTGGGGTGTGACATAGAAGTACTGACTAGACCTTCTAGAAGGTGTTGACGTCATCGTCTCGTCATATGTTTCATGCCCACTAATCCAACTTTGATTCCAAAAATAAATAAAAAACTGTAGAATTCTATCATTTTAGTGTAATTTCCAGAATCTAGCGGCTTGCACAGAAAATAAATCAACACGAACAAATAAGCCACAAAAACCAATTATTAAGGACTAATTTAAAAGCAAAATATTAACCAAATAAAACACTTATCAAATTCTCCCTCACTTATTCAATTCATGTCCTCAAGCATTCATCAATTAATATATCAAAATCATAAGTTGTCATCTTCAATTTGAATTTATTTTTCAAACTTCCAATCAAACTAAGTCCATGACATTTGTCGAATTCAAGTTACAATCAAGCAAATACACAACTAAGAAAATTTAAAGTAAGCAAGATATCTCAATTAGTTGTTAACTTCAATGAAACATGACTCAATACCTCACATAATAATCAAGGGGTCTTACACAATGTGTAACGGGGCTTATGTTAAGGTAGGGAAAATGCCAAAAAGAAAAGTTTAAAATATCAAAACAAAATATCAAAATAATCAATAAATCACATAACAAACTATTATATCATAATCTCCAAACTCTATAAACTTTTGTTCACCAACTTTTTAAATGGATTCAATTCAGACCATTTTTATGTTAAATTCAACTTAACATTTTATAATTATTTCAACTTAATCCCTCATTAATGCATATTATATAATTTATATAAATTTCAATTTGTAACTACATGTTTGTTCAATTTAGTCCTTAAAATTATATTTTTATTAAAAATTGACCCATAATTATTTATATTTTTTGTAATTTACTCCAAATCATATACAATTACACATTACAATTCTTCGTTCATGAAATACGAAAAATAATAAACCCAAAAATGACTCGATCTGAAATCAATTCATACTCGGTAAGATCCGACCTGAATTTTTTTTGTCAATGATGTGACCCGATTTGAACGAGATCCGAACTGAAGCTCATCCGAACCTGAATTAACTAATTCGGACCTGAACCATTTTGATCCGAACTAAAATTAATCCGATCCAAGCGCGAACTGAAATTAACTTGATCTAAGCTCGAACTGAATCTGATGTCAAAACAACATGAAAATGACTCAAACTGATTTGACTCGAACCTGACCTTATCCGTGTCAAACCATCAAATTGACCTGACACAACTAGTATATAATTTGACCTGACCTGATAGGATCCGACTGAAATATGAACGATTAACTGAATTCACGTTCATAATCCCAATAATCCTTGAACCAAAACTACCTTTTATATTTTATCAAATTATTTTAAATTTTAATTAAAAAATAATAATCCTCAAAATTTACGCTTTTTTAAATTGTTTCCAATTCTATAATAAGAAAATATATAAAAAATTATTTAAAATTTTAGAATAATATTTTTTATAGAAATTAAAAAGAAAAAAACATAATTTATTAAAAAATAGTTTAATATGATTTTAGAATGTTGGTTATAAACACTTAAATAAATTAATCGTAATTATCACAATCTTAAATTTATTAAATATTACCAATAACTAATTTTTGACGAATTACTTTCTTAAATTATATATTTGACCGGTTAGATAAGATGTTTATTTTTATTCCTTCAATTTTTTTTTTCATGAATCCTAACTCATTAAGAGTATTTTCTTTCCTTCCTCTAGAGGTTTAGAGTCTTCTTTCCTCTCACCTCTAGATAGAATTTGAATTAAATTTAAAATTTATTAAAAAATTATATATTAACTTCATGAAAACTTTTATATATTTAAAACATAGATTTATTTGTCGTAAACTATTTATGGAATAGATGCAAATTATTGAAATTATTTAATATATATTTTCTTTTCATTATTATTTTAATATTCTTTAATAATATTGTAAGATTTAATCATAGTTTGACATTTGACTTTTCAAAAATTAATACTATATCTTAGTTTTTATGATACTTAACAAATTAACATTTTTTTTTAAATAAAATAACAATATAAATTTTCTGACTACAACTGTGTTTTCGAACCAAAGTGTAGCATTTTATAATTGAATAACGTTTCCTTAACATACAAAATAAAATTATTAAAATTGTAATTAGATTTAATTAATAAATAAAAATATGTGATAATGGTGACGTTAGTTTTAAAGGTAAATCACACATTATGTCTTAAGTTATTTCTCTAATGTGCGTTGCTTAAACAATAATCTTTGATTAAGTTCTGGAAGCTTGTAATAAATGCTATAATCTCAGTAAGATTTTCTCAAATCTAAAAATTGGACAAATGAATAAAATTTATATTAAGAATTATATTTATTTCTTAGTCGTCACGCATAACTTTTATTCACCTTAGGAAAATTCGTAAAACCATTTCATTTCCACCCTTTATCCCAAATATAATCTCTCCTTAAAAAGGTAAGTCTAACAACTCTATATCTTCTTTAAGAAAACATCGATATCCAAGATTTTATATTAGAGACATGATTTTTTTAAAATTTAGAAGACGTGAAGATGTAAAATTAAATTATTAATAAGAGTACAAAAGATATTTAAATTGTATTACGGAATACGACCGTCCCAACTTCCCTTCGTTCAATCCTCAGGTCAAACAATAATTTTATCATCAAGTTAAGTCATAATTTTAATATTTTTAAGGGGTTTAATGGTAAACTTTTTACGTGGAGTATCATGTCAGCGTACTTAAAAATATGATTTAGCCAATGTTTTTATTTGAAAAATAATTCAATTTCTTTCCAAAGTTATGGTTAGATATAATGTTTTAAAAAATAAACGAGGACCAAATTGAGAGAAAGATATAACTATTGAGGATTTAATTTGTTATTATACCTTTTATTATTTATTTCTAAGTAAGTTAAAATTTCAAAATCAGGTTGTAATTAAATGCGGATACTCATCCATTTAAACAAACACCGCTACAAAATCTTCATTTACGATTTTCTCTGATCCCTTTTGTCTTTTTAAGAAGGTAGCAATAAGCAATAAGCAATAAGTAATCGTTACAAGTGGAGAAACAAAAATCAAATTGTAACGTGTAAAGTTGAGAGTGAAGTCGTCGTTGTTTCTAGTGTTCAATCTATTTTTGTGTATAACAGAGATATGTCAATGAAAATCAGACAATATAGGACACCTTCAAACATGTCCAACGGAATAACGAGAGAAGAAGACGATGAAGAAGCTCTGAAATGGGCGGCTCTCGAGCGATTACCGACGTACGATCGTGCCCGGAAAGGTGTTTTGCATGGCATTCTGGGTGATTTGAAAGAGATCGATCTTCGGAAACTTGGATTTGAAGAGAGGAAAGAGTTGCTGAATAGGTTCATCAAAAGCGCTGATAAACATGAAGAGTTCTTGAAGAAGCTTAAAGAAAGGATCGATAGGTATTAATCACCATGCATGCATGCGGTTACCACTCAAACACCCTTTTTTCAGTTTTCAGTAAACGTGTAAATTCTTATTATAATTGTTTGATGAATATTAGAGTTTCTCTGAAAATGCCCACGATTGAAGTTCGATTTGAAAACATAAACGTTCAAGGAGAAGCCTATGTTGGTAGCAGAGCTTTACCAACAATCTCAAACTCAATTTTCAATGTTATAGAGGTATGTTTTTGTCTACCTTGTTCGCATATCATATTGGTTTTATATCCATTTTACGTTCATGCTTTACTTGTACGTGGTATAGGGTGTTGGCCATTTCCTACATATACTCTCAACTCACAAGAAAAAGTTCTCAATTTTACGTGATGTGAGTGGAATTATCAAGCCAGGCAGGTAAATTAAATATTCTACCTTTTTTTGTGTTAAGAGGGACCAAAACCACAATTTAACCAAGTCAATACTAGATTATATTTTATTTGACTTTTGTTGCTGGTTGCAGATTGACTCTGCTTTTAGGCCCACCAGGTTCAGGAAAGACCACACTACTACAAGCATTGACTGGAAAACTTGAACCAGGGGTAAAGGTAACTGCAACATCTTTGTTTATTTTCCATCTCTCATACATTTTCTGCAAGTTTTTATTGCCTTGTAATCGGTTATATTGACTAGGAATTTTTTTTGTTTGAAACCCTAGTTTGCTGGGAAAGTAACGTATAATGGTCATGAAATGCATGAATTTGTTCCCCAGAGAACTTCTGCATATATCAGCCAATATGATGTCCACATACCCCAATTGACAGTAAGGGAAACACTGGAATTCTCTGCAAAATGTCAAGGAGTTGGAACCGGTTATGGTAAGTTCAAATATGATGTAATAGTTTTAGTGCAAAATAACAAGCTTTCCCTGAAATTTTAACTGGAAAAAATTCATATGGGTGCTTCTAATGGCATTGTACAGATATGCTTACTGAGCTCCTGAGAAGAGAAAAAGAGATGAATATTAGGCCAGATCCTTACATAGATGCCTTGATGAAGGTAAACTTAATGAAAACTGTTGCATATTTTAGGTTATGAATATGGGCTAAATTCTCAATCTGATCATAGTAGAGGCCTATAGGGACCGTAACCATAATCTGACCAATATTCTGCACATCTTTTCATGCTGAGGACTTGAGTGATATATTGTGATGCAGGCATCAGTTCTGAAAGGGCACAAGGAAAAAATTGTCACAGACTATGTTCTCAAGGTAGTGTTATCTTCAAATTATGACCGATTTTGTTCAGTAAAAAAATTGATGAATTTCCATTTCTTTTCATCAGATTTTAGGACTGGAAGTTTGTGCTGACACCATGGTAGGAGATGCAATGATGAGGGGAGTTTCAGGAGGACAAAAGAAACGTGTAACTACAGGTAGAAAAACATGAAACGTTTTAAACATCAATTGCAGAATGATTCAATTTTAGTGATTTAAATGTGTTCCAGGGGAGATGCTGGTGGGTCCTGTAGGAGCACTTTTTATGGACAATATATCAACTGGCCTTGACAGTTCCACTACATACCAAATCGTCAACTCGATCAAGCAATCAATCCACATTTCAACAAGACTGCTATAATCTCACTTCTCCAGCCCCCACCAGAAACTTTCGAGCTTTTTGATGGCATTATCCTTCTCTCGGAGGGGCGAATCATCTATCAAGGCCCTCGTGAATATGTTCTTCCGTTCTTTGAATCGATGGGGTTCAAATGTCCTGACAGAAAAGGAATTGCGGACTACCTACAAGAAGTAAGCACATGATCCAAACGAGTCTATATTCATTATATTGAAAACCACACACCAACACTGGTTTCATCTTCACATTATAGGTTACATCAAGAAAGGATCAAGGACAATACTGGTTTCGTCAAGAATCACCATATCATTTCATTTCGGTCAATCAGTTTGCTGAAGCATTCAAGTCGTTTCACGTCGGATTAGACATCCAGCACCAGCTTTCGATCCCATTTGACAGGTCAAAGAATCATCCTGCAGCTTTGACAAAAACCAGATATGGAGCTAACAAAAGGGAATTGATGAAAGCCTGTTTATCAAGAGAGTTCATTTTGTTGAAAAGAAATACGTTCTTGCATGCTTTCAAGATATCTCAGGTGAGTAGCATTATCCCTGTTTCATAAACGCTTTCAACATGATGGCTTATACTTCAAATTTCATAACTTCTGCCTCTTTTGTTTCAGCTTGAAATTAGTGCAGTAATTCTTGCTACCGTCTTTGCGCAAGCTAGAAAGCATCACAGTACAATTGAAGATGGAACAGTCTACCTAGGCGCTCTTTTCTTTTCTCTTAACACGATTACCTTCACTGGATTTTTCGAGCTTCCCTTGACGATTGATAAGCTTCCGATATTTTACAAGCAAAGAGACCGCATGTTTTATCCTTCATGGGCATTCTCGTTGCCAACAGCAGTTCTTGGTATTTCTATATCAGTATTCGAAGTTGCTATATGGGTTGCCATAACTTACTATGCAATAGGATTTGATCCCAGCACTACAAGGCCAGTATCAAAAAACAAGTCACCATTATATGATTTCTTTCCCCCCCCCCTCCTTCTTGCATTCACTTTGCTAACCCCTCTTGCTTTTTCTTGCCTCAGGATGCTTAAACAATATCTTGTTCTCGTAATGAGTGGACAGATGTCTTATGCACTTTTTAGATGCATTGCTGCATTGGCTAGAGATCATATTGTTTCCAACACAGCTGGATGCCTTTCAGTAATGTGGCTGTTAGTGTTTAGTGGATTTATCTTATCAAGAGGTATTTTCATGGTTCCGATTTTTCCTATGTGAAATATGAATACAGACATAATGTGCTTCACCTTTATTATTGCAGAAAACATGCAGAAATGGTTGATCTGGGGATACTGGACTTCTCCTCTTATGTATGCCCAGAATGCCCTTTCAGTAAATGAATTCCTAGGCCAAGCCTGGAGTCAAGTAAGTTCCCTGTTTTGTTTAACTTCGGAGCGCGTTGCATCTATCTTTGTTTCAAGCTTGTAAGTACATAAATTTGAATGCGGAAATGAATTCAGGCTCTTAATGGAACGAAGGAGACTCTGGGAGTAGCAGTCTTGAGAGCTCGTGGGGTTTTCATCAGTCTGGATTGGTATTGGATTGGTCTTATTGCATCGGTTGGCTTCATACTCCTTTTCAATGTGGTCGCCTCTTTGGCTTTTGCTTACTTTGATGGTAACGATTCCATAGAACTTTGCTGTTTTCAGTAACATTTTGTTTCTCGATGTAACTCTTCCAATTCATGCAGAATATGGGAAATCTGAGGCTGTGTTTCTGAGTGAAGAATCTGTTGAAGAAGACAATGTTGGAAGAGATGAAGGCGATGGAATGTTGTTAAACAAAACCAAATCAAAGATTAAGAGAGCATCTAGAGGTAACGCTAAGCTCTCATTATGATTATGCATTGCCTTACCTTGCTGACAAATTCAAACACTTGCAGATGCACTTGCAGTTCGCAGTTATCATGAGAAAGGAATGCTTCTTCCTTTTGTTCCGCTTACAGTTGCCTTCGAGAATATCACGTACTCGGTTGATATGCCAAAGGTATGTTGCATACAATGCTCGATAAGTTTTGAATGTATCAATGCAAGATGAACTTACCATTTGTTGCGTGTTACAGGGGATGAAGACCCAAGGTGTGTTGGATGATCGATTGGTACTTCTAAACGGAGTGAGTGGGGCATTCAGGCCGGGAGTTTTAACAGCACTAATGGGTGTTAGTGGTGCTGGTAAGACTACCTTACTTGATGTGTTAGCCGGGAGGAAAAACAGTGGATATATAGAAGGAAACATCACTGTTTCAGGTTACCCAAAGAAACAAGAAACTTTTGCTCGAGTTACGGGATATTGTGAACAAAACGACATTCACTCTCCTCTTGTCACTGTCCATGAATCTTTACTATACTCGGCATGGCTTCGGTTGCCTCCTGAAGTTGATCCTGAAAGTAGAGAGGTTGGTGGACCTCAAAAATCTAAACCAGCTATGGCCCTCGTTGTGTGTATGTCACATTTATTTAATTTCTTTGAAATCTCATTGTTGTTGCAGCTTTTTGTTGAGGAGGTTATGGAACTGATTGAGTTGAAACCACTGAGAGATGCACTGGTGGGATTTCCAAATGTGAATGGACTATCAATCGAGCAGCGCAAACGGTTAACCATTGCAGTCGAGCTTGTTGCAAACCCCTCAATAATTTTCATGGATGAGCCAACATCAGGTCTCGATGCAAGAGCAGCAGCCATAGTAATGAGAACCGTGCGAAACACGGTGGACACAGGAAGAACTGTGGTATGCACAATTCACCAGCCAAGTATTGACATATTTGAATCATTTGATGAGGTGAGAGATTTTAGCAACTAACACTTATGTCTTTGGAGCATACTCTACTTCATAAAAATCTTAAATTTCATTCATTTCCAACTATAGCTCTTCCTGTTAACGCGCGGGGGTGAGGAAATATATTTCGGTCCTCTAGGCCGTATGTCAAGCCATTTGATCAAGTACTTTGAGGTAAAACAAAAATATTTCTACTTGTTTGATCTACTAATTGCTGCTTTAAAATGCCTTCATTAAACTTCTTTCCTCTAATTAACTGCTCCATTTGAAGGACATCAATGGAGTAAGCAAGATAAAAGAAGGTTATAACCCAGCAACTTGGGTTTTAGAACTGACAACACGAGCTCAGGAAGAGATTCTAGGCGTTGAATTCACTGACGTGTACAAAAAATCAGATCTCTACAGGTTGATTATCTGATAAACAATGTGCAGTTTCTTATCACTCAATAAATGTAATCATAATCTTTGCTACTTGTCAAAACTTACATCCAAAGCTATTATTGCAGAAGAAACAAGGACATTATTTCAGAGTTGAGCATATCTCCTCCAGGTTCGCAGGATCTCCACTTCCCTACTAAGTATGCACAATCCTACTTTACACAGTTCAAAGCTTGCTTATGGAAACAGCACAAATCATATTGGCGGAACACACCGTACAATGCAGTGCGACTTTATTTTTGTACCGCAGTGAGCATTATGTTCGGAGTCTTATTCTGGAATCTTGGAAGCAAGAGGTAAACCTTTTTGGCTGATTCATTTTTCTTTTTCTTTGTTTTTCCGAATCGAATGAAACATACAAAACTGATCCTGCAGGAAAACAAAACAGGATATTTTCAATGCAATGGGTGCAATGCACACTGCAATAACATTCATGGGATCACAGAGTGCAGCTGCTGTGAGACCAGTTATAATAGCTGAAAGAACAGTTGTTTACCGAGAAAGGGCAGCCGGAATGTACTCTGCGTTACCATATGCCTTTGCGCAGGTAGTTAATTCTTCAACATAATCTTAACCACTTACTTTTCCTCCTGATATTCTCACCAAGTCCCAAATTTCCCCTATTTTCAGATTGCCATCGAAATCCCATATACTATAGCTCAGGTTGCTATATATGGGGTCGTAGTATATGCAATGATGGGTTTCCAATGGACAGCTTCCAAGTTCTTTTTAAACACATTCTTCATGTTCATCACGGTTCTCCTCTTCATATACTACGGAATCATGGTCGTAGCTGTGAGTCCTAATCAAGCAGCTGCCGCGGTACTTTCCGGTGTGTTCTATACAGCATGGAATCTCTTCTCAGGCTTTATAATTCCCCGACCGGTAACTCGAATTCCATCTCTTTCCATTAAAGATATTTGTTGGGTTCATATATATGACTCCTTGGTATTTACAAATTGTAGAGGATTGTTAAATGGTGGAGATGGTACGCTTGGTTGTGTCCGGTGTCATGGAGCTTGTGGGGAATGTCGACTTCACAGTACGGAGACTTGCAGAGCAAGTTAGAGACAGGAGAAACAGTGGCTAAGTTTATGGAAGACTACTTTGGGTTCAGACATGACTGGTTATGGCTGGTTTCTGTGGTGCTGATAGGCTTCACTTTGACGTTTGCTTCTGTATTTGCATTGTCCATGAAATTCTTGAACTTCCAAAAGAGATAAACATTCGTTGTGTTGAAATAAACTATGCCAGGATTCCATTTTGTGACACCTAGTTTTACCTTCCTACACTCACCAGCTTTGTCTGGTTTTACTTTTGGTTAGAACACATCTCATGCCCTCTCAATTTCCAAATTGGACAAATCAGTCCCTCTAGAGAAGGGAAGGGAATAGGGATTAATTTAGTTCTGGAAATTCCAAACGCTTAATACAAAAATAAGTGATTAAATAATACCTCAAAAATGTTTGTCTAAAGAATTTTTCGTTAAAAATATGTGCCTAAAATTTTATACGTTACATATTTAAGTGTCTACAGTTAAAAAACCGTTAATTGACATATGGTCTAAATTTTTTAAAATAAAATATTATTTAAAAATATTTTTAAAAAACTTAATATGACACGTATCACTTAACAAATTTTTTTTAACAATAGACATAAAAGTATAACGAAAAAACTTAAACACCTATTTTTAGCAAATATTAACACTAAAAAGTTAATTTTGAGTATAATTCAAACATTTATTTTTATATTAAACCAATTCCAAAAACATACAGATGGCGAATAGGTAAAAGCAAGATAAACAGTCCTCGTTACCAAAATTATTCCACTTCACATGGCTTCCAACTTTTAAAAGCTCCAAGAACCAGCTGGCCGACAACACTTGAAAGAGAGACAGAAATTAAGGATTAAGCCAATAACTAATTACAGTGAAGATTACAACATATTTTATTTTTATTTCTCAACACGAACCAAAGATATATATCATATTATATCTATATATATCCATAGAACACACGATTAGATTTCTACATTAATCATTGTGACACACAGCAATGAGACTAGTGTCCCTCCTCCATTTGACCCACATTGCCATACTTGGGCCTCCACTGGGTCCTCCCTCTCACAATCTCCGACCCTTCCTCCAGTCGGAGCAAGTGCTGGCACTCTACTTCACCCACATTGGCCAAGTTCCCCACACCAGACTCTGACACGTTTGTTAGCGACTGCAGCACGCTGTCCCTCCCACACTCCCTCCTATACTCCAGTGTCATGGAACAAAGCTCCTGACTCTCCAACACTGCCAATGGAGCACTCTGCAACCCAGTTATATTTAAATTAGCAGTTAAAACATGTGGTATGTATTTTTGTTTTTACTGGATAGAGCCTACCTCGAGGATCCAGCCAATGTACTTCACATTATTGACATGCTGGTTGACATCCAAGTCACTCCATCTAGGCTGTGCAAATTAAAAGTAGAATACATATAAAAATGCAACAAGATATATAGAAAGACAACAAAATATATAGAAAGACACTTATGAGTGCCTACAGATGGGCATCAAGGACTTACAGTTAAACCTTTACGCACGTATTCAGCTGTGCTTTCATCAAGTTTCACTAACTTCCGGCTATCTTCAGCCACAACAGGACCAGAATTCATAAAAAAGGGTTCTATTTCTCCTCGGACCTCTTCTGGAATTTTAGATAGCCTTCTAGTCACCTTATTCATCATCACCCACACACTGCATATCACCTAAACCAGAAAGAAATCAAGGGGAATCTAGGTAAGTCAGTCCTGAATCACCATTCGATAATGTACAGGCACACATAAAAAGGATATTCATTCTGAGAAAACATTTTAAATGCCAGACAAATTTTGCAAATAATTTCTTTGGCTACTATTCCCGTCTTATTCTTGTGATACGATCAAGTGGCACGGAGTATATCATGAAAGAATACAATCGGATACCCTACCTAGTGACCCTTGTTAAAGTTTCACCAGTTTTACTATCACTGACAAGCCAATCTCTTCGCATGTCATTCTTTCCCGATGCACTGACCCAAGTGTCTACTTGAACAACATCACCCCTGCGAGACACAAAAATAAGTCCAAGTGAAAGATAAAACATCTATTGGTAATTGAAAAATTCAACTAGTCAATAGCAAAAGACATGCCTTACCAACATCACATTGCATACTGGATCAGTACAGTATCATCAATACAAGTAAAATCATAATTACAACGACAGCGCAAGTGGTAATATCATGAATAGTTGCTATAAGAGCAACCCATGAGCAAAGATGTATGGCTTACCAAGTAGGATACCGATCAAACACAACCTGCATCCTAGTAACCACCCAAATTAGGTTCTTCTTGCACATCTCAGGGGTTGCACCAAAACCTTCTCCAAGCAGCCCAGCACTTTTGCAATGATTAATTGCAGTTTCCTGCAGGTATATTAATTAGATAAAGCTTATCCACTATATCCACAGGAAACGCAAGTAGTTATAAATTCTAGCTCCTAAAATATGTTGCTCAAACAAAGTGGCCAATTAACCGTTGATGAACCTGCAAATGGTTCATAAGTGTCTCTATGGATGCTGTACGATCGGCGCCAATCTCATAAGACCTAATTGCGAAGTTTTGACGGAAAACAAGACCATCCTGAACAATCCTCCCAATACCAAAAGGATCAATGAACATGTCAGGACGCCGTGGCTTCCAATCAAGCATCATCCACTGCTTCTCAGCAGCCAGGAACATGGTTGTGATAGCAGCAAGAAGCATGCTCCAATCAGGTAATTGATTGATAAATGTCCGCGCAGGAAGGGAACTCGGACCATCTTCATTCTTGAAACTTTCAACTGGAGAAGTCACAACAGACGTACCATTTATCTTATGAGGGGCTTGAGCATTTGCCTTGACTTGCAAACTTCCAGAAGAAGCGGATTGTTTCGACTTGATACCTCCAAGGTTAGTAGATCCACTTCCAAGCTTCTTGTTTTTCAAGTCAGAGGAGTCCGGGGAAGAAGTTACGGGAAAGAACGATGATGTAACAGCTGTAGCAACCATGATTTTGAAAATTAAAAGCAACTATTTATCCACTAAAATTCCCTCTTCTGGAATCGAGCTTTTTAGAAAGGCAGTTGATTCATGCTCCGACTGTATCACATATGATAAAGAATCAGAATAATTCCAAGAAACGCGTTAACAAACTCAGATAATCACAAAATCCTCAAATTTTGGCAATGAAGGTTACATATCCAATATTTCAAATATATATCATGCAGCATAGTTTTTAGATTTCTCCATAATTGAACCGAAACAGAGAAAAAATCTAAAGATAATAAAGAAATTCTTCATTACCGGAAATATGATTAGAAAGGAAGGATTAACAGAGGCTCAAAAGAAACTATAATGTTTCAATCCTCTTTAAAAAAAACACAGTGATTTAACAGAGAAGGGGTACTGTAAAAAATGACAGAAAAACTCCTAATTAACGACGAAGATGCGTCTCCAAAAGAAAGCGGGATGAGGGGGGAAACGAAGCAGATCTAAGCTATACAACTATAAAAGTTTTAAAAAAATGAGATAGAAAAATAGCAAATAAATCATGAACAAGTTTCGGCTTTCGACGATCTTCTACATTTCCCGAATCTGTTTCATGAGAAATTTACAATTAACAACACTTTACACAGAAATAGCGACAAGAAAATCTAGATCTCTCATGGCCACCGCCATTACTCATACACCTATACATAAAACAATACAACATAAAAACAAAATGGTCATCCAAACAGAGCAGCAACATTTCCACTAAAAAAGTAAATCAAATAGATAATGAGAAGAAGAAGAAAAAAATAATTAAAACTCCACGTCCGTACCTTCAAGCGAAAAGCAAAATGGCGAACCAAAGAAGGATAATTTTCTCGAGAAAACTATAGCTTTATTTAAGATCTGCAAATCCCTCTCGGCACTTGTACGGCTTGCGATCTACCACGAATTCTTTTCTTCCTCTTTTAGCTTTTTGAATTTTCGTTTGGAGCTTTCAATATCCAGAGAAATGAAGGAAAAACAATAAAGAAGGCAGACTTTATTTAAATTTTATTTTAAGTTTTAAGAGAGAAAAGAGCAATAAGGGCCACCGGCGGTTTAGTGCGTTCGTAGAGAAGTAGCGTCCAGCGAGTCATTTTATAGTACATGTCTGATCTGTCTGTTCCTCACGCCCACTTTTTTTTTTTTTCATTTCCCGATTTTATCAAAAAGTTTTTCATATTTACTATTTTGCCCTTTATGAGATTTATTATTAATTAAATATGTTGCTGACAAATGGCTGAGAAGTTGAAAAATAGGTTAGGTTAAAGGTTCATTTACATATTTTTTTTTACACTTTAATATTTCGTCTATTAATTTGATTTAATCCGTATCATATATTTAATTTTGGTAAATGAGTCTTTCAATATGGATTTTTTACGTATTTGAACTCGAAATCTTAAGTGATATCAAATTATTTACCACTTGAATTAATATTTTAAAAATAATAACTATTTCCATTTTAAACCCTAATAAAAATATATTTTTTATGTTTTTCTATATTAAGCTTTTGAATAATTTCGTAGCGTTATAATATTTAATAACTAAATATTAAAAAATAAAAAAAATATTATATAGGATAAAATACGGTATAGATCATTCAAATGATTGTTTTGGTTATTAAAATTTTAAAAATCATAAAACATATAAAAACACGAATATTAAAAATTTATGTTATTTTAAAAGATTTTCGAAAGTGAAAATGATAATGATATATGAAGGGTTATATTGATATCTATATGTCTTCTTTAAAATATTAATTAAATTTTTGAAGCCTTAGCTCTTTATTTATTTTACTCATTTTAATACATAAAATGTTTGAATTTATTAATTAATCTCAATCAATTTATGTATATTTTGTTGCGATCTGTTTAATCGATTAATAAGTTGATAGGTAGCTTAAATATTATGAATCATAAATATGATAATTTGAGATGCTAATTCTTAAAATGTAGTGGTTCGATATTGATATATAAGAGTTTGGAAAATCTTTTCTAACATTAATTTTGGACCTTGTATTTCAATACCTAAAGAGTTAATATCGATATATGTGGAGGATCTTTTTATACCAATAGATTCACAATTATCCTGAATGGATCGAGATTATCAAAAGAAAATCCAACCCACTTTACTCATACACATCTCTAATTATAATTAAAGCAAGTGGAGCATGGGAAACCAAATCACTTTTTCCTTCGCCCAATTAGATTATAATCCTATTATAATACATGTACACGTCCCGAAAAACAGGAGTAATATTTTTAGTCCAAGCTTGATTAACGAATGTCAGATGTCACCTCCAACGTGAAACGACAACGAAACTCGTCTTATATAATAATCTAATTATATAAAGAAAAAATAGATAAACGTGATATCTTTAATTTTTCTAAATAATAATTTAATATTTCATTGAGTTGCTACTTGCGTGTTTTATCTGTAGATTTAAGTAATAAAAAAACATAAATCCTAAGAAGGATAAAAAAATGTTAGGCGATGGATTCAAGGGGAAGATGAAGAAAACAAAAATAAAAGACATGGCTTGTGGAACATAATTTATTTTTCCATGTGGAAGAGGAAGTAAATTTAAATATTTAGCAGATCATATTCTCCTTTATTTATTTACTTGTATGAATCACACGGTGAAATTTGACCAGGAAAAAGAGTTGTTCAACAACATGAAACAGAAAGCAAACGTCAAATTGGCATTCTTTTTTGCTGTAATTAAATAGTAAATTAGCTAAACAACATCCAATTAAGAGGTTAATAATACGGATTAAAATATTGCGTCAGCTTTTAATACCTGTCAAATGGGTATATGTTAGTACGTGTTTAAATTTGTCTGCTTAATTTTGAATAATCAGGATCATGATTTCGAGTCATTTAAAGTAACAACGTTTTCATGTTTAATTATTTGAGTTTACTTTAGTGTATGAACTATTTTGAGTAGGCAGGCTTTAGCGGGTAAAAGTGTCCTGATAACGTTACAGGGAGTGTTTAATTCCTAAATTAATGTGTTCATTCGATTAATTTTTTAAATGGGGTGTTTTCTACAGTAGATTTTGGATTTCTCGACGTTTTCAAGGTTGAACCAAATTTTGTTGGGTCTTGCTGGGGATCTTCCGGTGTCTTATTTGAGATTTTCGGTGTCTTGAGGATGTTGGATTGTTTAGAGGGAACTCTAGGCGTCTTTGAGTGAAATCAAGAAAAAAAAATTTAACTTTTTTACACAAATATCACCTTAACATAAAGTAATTACTTGTTAGACAATATTTAAGAATATTTTATGGATCTAGCAAAATTTAAGAATATCATTTTAAATAATATGAAAAGTTTTTATATTTTATAAATTTATTTAATTATAAAATATTTTAAAAAATATTATTTTAAAATATAACACAAGACATACACTTCTTTTAGGATGGACTTATAAACTTCGATCTTACAACGAACAAAATTCATGATAAAAGACATTTTCCTTTTCATTAAATTTGTGTAAAATACACTTCTCGATATATTATATGTAAATATATGTTAACTATTTTTTATTTAATTTTAATTTAAGTTGTATATAATTTTGAGATATTTTTTCTTTTTTCCTAGACACCCATAAAATAATAGCACGACAATAACGATTTAATGATTTATAAATATTAAATTAAATTGAAATTTAATATGAAGTTGTACAAAACTAAAAACTTATATATTTTATCATACATTATACTAAAGTTTCAGTATATTTTTGACCGATACTTTTTGGTGTTAAAATATTATTATAAAAAGAAGAGAGAATGGGCAACAATAGAAATATCATTAAGTGGTGTGCCACTGATATTTTAGGTGAATTATATATTGAGTAAACTTATATAAAATTTATAAAATTTTTATAGAAAGTATTTAAAAATTTGTTAGATCTGTAAAATATTCTTAAACAGTGTCTAACAAGTAATTAATTTATGTTAAGGTGATATTTGTGTAAAAATGCCAAATTTTTTCCTTGATAACTTAAAGACGCCTAGAGATCCCCATAAACAATCCAACACCCTCAAGACGCCGGGAGATTCTAAACAAGACGCTTGAAGACGTCGGGATATCCCAAGCAAGACGTCAAAAAAATCTAGTTCAAGTATGAAGACGTCGAGAGATCCCAAATCTAATATAAAAAATACCCCATTTGAGAAATTAATCGGATGAATACGTTAGTTTAAGAATTAAACACTCCCTATATCGTTATCTGGGGACTTTTGCCGGCTTTTTTAGGGTGCCCGGTTGTCCGCCCTCGTTACAAATTTAAAACCTCTAATTTCGCTTCTTCAAGGTTCATTGAAATGTGTGGCAAAAATCCAAAGCGGAGTTAACTATGAATGAAGAAGCTGCCGATCAGGTACGAATGCATAAATTTATATAATTATATGAAAAATTATAAGGAACACAAAATTATAAAATTTTAGAGGTATAAAATTATATAATCAAAAGATACAAAGAAAAAATCTAAAATATAAGATAATTTAAAAATTTTAAATGATGCGACCGCACCTAGCACCTTCCTCATCCATCCCTGCTGCCCACAAAACTCATTACGATCGATCCAAAAAGTCGTGCAAACCAGCAATTAAAACTCGCCATCACTGCCTCTGCAAATGGCACATCACTCTTTATCAAATCTTGTTATTACGCCAAACGCATTAATTAACGATCTCTACAAATTTCGGTTTAATTCTCAAACCATGAAATTAAGACGCCATTTTCCGGAGAAGTGACACATAAACTCTACTGTGTAATCAAAACATACGTGCATACCATCTGCGTGTTGCAGAGTTACAAACTAACCCAATAAACAACTTGAGCTTATTACGGCCTGTGGGCGCTGTCTGTTTTAGAGGAACAGCCACTGGTTTTTTCACGATGGAGGTGTGCCTGGTATACAATACAGTGCCTGAAAGTATAAAATCCGAAAAAGAACAAAAACGGCAGATTACTGGCCAAAAATATGTTTGTTTGTTTTACATTACAGTATCAGTACAGTGTTACTGACTGTCGTCAGTTATGTAAGACTTGGCATACGTGGTTTTAAACAATGCATGGAATCTTTTATGTCTGCTGCAGTCTGCTTTTGATGTTTTGGTGGGGAGTTGATTCCACAAAGTGGTCGAGTCTTACTCACTTCAGTGTACTTGCAAGAATCTGGTGTAAGAAAAACTTGGGATTTCAAACTCATGAATGTATTAAAATCGTTTTTAATGCACACATGGATAAACTTACGGATAATGGTTTTAAAATATATCCGTATGCAATATGGGCATAAAATGTTGAGGTGTGTAAAAATTAGGTAAAGATATATGTAGTTTTTCATGCAACTTGTATGATATGAGAATTAGGTTAGGGTTGCATTAAATCAAAAACGGTTGGTTGTTCCACAACTCTCGTGGTTCACAAAGAAGAGTTTCATGGAACAACAAACTTTTGCAGTAATAAAATGTTGATGTAGGCATGAGATTAAGAAGGCTGCCTACCTGGAGTTATAGATGGCCGTGTAGGTATGGGCAAAGCCTTTTGTCATCTGGTAATTGGGCAGGCCTCAGCTAGTTAGTTCTACCTTAAAGCTTATTATTGTGTATAAAAATGAGGTGAGTAATTAATACGTTAAATATGGTCCAAGACAAATGGAGATGATGTTGTAGCCGGAATCTGATGCATGGACAACAGTTGAGTAATTTTTTTTTTTTAGCCGACTCATGAAACTGGGTGGATCAAATCTCCCTAAAGTCCGGCAATTTTAGCCCAATACTTTATTATTTTAGAAAACATGTATATTTTAGGTCT